CTCTCTCTCTCTCTCTCTCTCTCTCTCTCTCTCTCTCTCTCTCTCTCTCTCTCCCCTCCCCCTGCCTCCCACCCTCCTTCCCTCCCACACTTGGGGGGGGGGACTGTCTACCAATCCCGAAAAGCTAGTTGTTAGCAACTGAAGAGGGGAAACTGAGGCATGAGAAAGGGAAGACCGGGCTGCGTGTAAATCCATGCTCTAAATGCTGACCTGGAGCAGGGTCGCACGGGGCTGGATCTTCTCAGACTGCAGGCCAGCTGGGGTGAGGCTGACGGAAGACTTGAATTGGTGAGAGAAGCAGACTCAGCCTGCAAGGCTCTTTATCCCTGGGCGACAGGGCCAGTTCCCTTCCTGACGGTGAAGATCCGGTGGGAGGGGGTTCCAGTCTGGCCCCAGTTTCAGTCTGCACAATGGCTCCTCTGTACTCCCTGCTGCCTCATCCCCTGGCCTCCTCACCTCTTTGGCCTTTGCCTCTCTTGTTCTCCTTACCCTCCCCCATCCTGGACAGCCTTTCTAGACACCACCCCTTTCTAAAGAAGTTTATCCTAACTCCAGAAACCGTGGGACTGCACCCCTGGCCCCGGATCCAGAACTAGACATGAACAAGATGTTGGTTTGTGAACCAGATGGTGGTGGCGCACCTTTAATCCCCGCACTCGGGAGGCAGAGGCAGTCAGATCTCTGTGAGTTCGAGGCCAACCTGGTCTACAAGACAGGCTCCAAAGTTACAGAGAAACACGTCTCAAGAAACAAAACAACAATAAAACGATGTTAGTTTGTGTTTGTGAAACTTGAAGGAACTGAAACCCTGAGAGGTTAAGGATCTCAATGGAGCTGTCAAACCAATTCCCAACACAACTGAGAACAAATGTGAACTGAGAACAAATGTGAGCCCTTCCCCCAGTCTGTGAGGCCATGTCCCTCCAGAGGGGATCTGGGTATCAGCCTGGTGGATTGTTCAACCTCAACAACCTCTCCAGGTACCCAGCGGCCTGAGGGTCTCCAGGAGAAAGAAGCAGCACTTACCCCCAAGCACTCCTCTCCCCAAGCGCGCGCGTGCGCGCGCGCACACACACACACACACACACACACACACACACACATTAACCAGCCTGTGTCCAGCAAGCCCCACCCACCTAGCCTTAGCTTCAGGCCAGTCACGAATTCTTACTTGAAATCAACCCAACCTCTATTTTGGCCATACCTGTCTCACAGATAAAGGCTTTGTTTGCCTCCCTGCATGGCTTTCCCAGAAAAGAAAATATCTAAGATGTTTTTCCCACTGCCTCCCCTACCTCAGGCCAGAGAGGAGACAAGCAAGTCACTAGACCTGGCCTCTGCACCCCAGGAACTCTACGCTACCAGGTGACCAAACATGTAAATATTTTTTGTTATTTACATGTTTGTGTGTGTGTGTGTGTGTCTGCGCGTGCGTGCATGCTCGGGGCGCGCTGGCATGCCATAGTATGAGTGTAGACGTCAAAGGACTACTTATTCTCTACATCATGAGAGTCCCCGGGGCTTGAACTCGGGGAGTCAGGCTTGGTGGCAGGCACCTTTACGTAACTGCAGAGTCATCACTGGCCCTGGTTGTTTTCCTTAGGTCGGGATGCCTGGCGTCTCACCCACCATGCCTGAAGCTACCTTCCCTGGGTGATTTTTATTTTATTTTTACGGCATTTGGTCCTTTGAGACAGGGCTTTGTATCCTAGGCTGTCCCTGAACTTGCTGCGTAAATGAGGACGGTAGCTTTCCTGACCTCCCTGCCTCCACCTTCCTAGTGTTCGGATCGCAGATTTATCCTGCCACATCAAGCCCATGTAATGCTGCCAATCAAATCCAGGGCTTTGTGCGGATGAGGCCCGCACGAGACCAACCGAGTCTCTCTCCCTGTCCTTGACAATGGTTTTGTAGGCCCACTTGGTTTATGTGCGTGGGTGTTTTGCCTGCATCTCTGCATGTACACCACATGTGTACATGTGTGCCTGGTGCCCGTGGAGGTCAGGAGAGGCACTGAATCTCCTGGAACTGAAGTTATGTACGGTGGTGAGTCTCCCTGTGGGTACTGTGAACTAATCCCGGGTCCAGCCTCAAACTCAAGGCAATCCTCCTGTCTCAGCCTCCTGAGTACTGGGATCATGGGCATATGCGCCATGCTCAGCTTCCCTGGTGAGTTCAGCTCGTCAAGTGCAGAGCTTCTGCCAGATTCTTTCTGCTTTTACTGTCGCTGCCTGGGAGGTTGTAAGAGAAAGGAAACTGTTCAGCTCTGAGAACGGTGAGCTGTTTCCAGACTGTCGGACATGTGGCTTTCCATTCTGATGGAAAGCTGCTCCACGATGGCCATGCCGGGCATTGGCTTGAGGGTGCCGCAGGCCACATAGGGAGGTATGGAGGCCCAGAGAGGCTGTGCAGGATGCCTGGCTGTGTGTTGGAGTGTAGACATTACCTGGGGTTCCTCTTCTGTGCTATGTTTTCACTGCTATAGCTGTCTGGGGGCAACCCTGGCTCTACCTCGCTGATGGTTTGAATAGGAATGGCCTTTGGGGCTTCAAAAGCCCTGTCCAGTGCTCTCTCTTAGAACTCTCAGCTCCTTCCCCAGCACCAGGTCTGCCTGTGTGCCACCACGCTTCCCGCCACGTGGATAATGGACTAACCTCTGAAACATGAAGCCAGCCCCAGTTAAATGCTTTCCTTTAGAAGGGTTGCCATTGTTATGATCTCTCTCTCTCTCTCTCTCTCTCTCTCTCTCTCTCTCTCTCTCGTTTGTTTTGCTTTTTGAGACAGGGTTTCTCTTTCTCTTTGGAACCTGTCCTGGAACTAGCTCTTATAGACCAGGCTGACCTTGAACTCACAGAGATCCACCTGCCTCTGTCTCCCAAGTGCTGGGATTAAAGGCGTGCACCATGACCACCAGGCTTGTTATGATGTCTCTTTACAGCAATAGAACATGGACTAAGGGGCTGGAGAGATGGCTCAGCGATTAAGAGCACCGACTTTTCTTCCAGAGGTTCTGAGTTCAATTCCTAGCAACCGCGTGGTGGCTCACAACCATCTATAGTGGGATCTGGCGCCCTCTTCTGGCATGAAGGAGTACATGCAGACAGAAAGCTTATACATTTCAAAACAAAACACCTATTAAGACAACCTCTTAGGAACTCTCCTTGTCCTCCTGGGCCACCTTACTGCAGCTGGAACCCAGGCCCCCTGGGCCTTTGGACTCAGTTTCCCATATACCCTTGCCTCTCGCCCTTGATCCGGACTACAACTCAGGATCATTAGGATTCCAGAACACTCTGGAATCTGAACACCCACAGATGTGCCACGTTGCTGATCCCAGTCACTGGCCTAAACATCCCGGTGGCTCAGAAAAGCATCTCCCTGTGTCAGCAGGCCTGGTGTCCCCTGAGGTTTTGGGTAAATGGGAGGATGCTCCGGATTTCTGCCTACAGTCCTCGGGGTTCCTTGACCTGTTTATGATCACCCTGGTCTCTTCCTCTTCATCTAGCGTCACCTCTGTCTTCTTAGATTTGTTTATATATTCATACGGACAAACAATGTCGAGGTTAGGCATGCTCAC